TGGTCCAGGTACGAGCATGATGCCTTCGACGACGACGACTTCCTTCAACTTCCTGATCGGAATTTTCCGGATATTCATCAAAGTCGGTATTGGTATTGTAATCAGGAGTTGCTCGTAAATCAAAGTTTTGTGTGTCTTCAACTTGTCCAGGTTCCAGATCTCGATTATAATCTGCAAGACGATCGGTAATTTGCATGACAGATAGCATTACCCGATTTATTTGCATTCGGAGAGATCCATCAGGATGTGCCGCATTCCGTGGCATAATATTAGCAAAATCGGTAATAGCTCGACTATATTCATAATTTCTGTCATCTTCCCATTCAGTACGAGTTGTGTTATATAGAAAACGAGCTTCTCCAAAGGTTCTGACTGCATACCATCGACGAGTTGCAAGAATATGTTCGTAAGTTTGAAGGTCAGAAATAAAAGAGGTAGGATTGTGATAATAAAGATGAAGAATTCGACGTTCTGCTTCAGTATGATAGCGATTAGTGATTAGAACAATTTCATGTCCTTGGTGACATTCAGAAGGAGCACCATATCGAATCATATGTCCATAAGAGCAATAATGGAAGCGAAGTCGAGAGGATAAAAATTGTGAAGGGACATTTGAATTGTCCCAAATGACTGTGTGTGCATAGCGCGTGGAATTGAGTGCTCGTTGAGAGCGAATAGACAAGGCTCGCAATTGGTCCGGAGTTCCTCGAGAGATTTGTAAATTGGAAGGTAAATGAAGAGGTGGAGAAATCGGGCGTTCCCAAATTTCTTCTCCAACACCAGTTTCAGAAGGAACTTGATTGGTTGTTGGTTCTTCGGTATGCTGAGAAGCAGGAGGTTCTTCGGAAGAAATAGAAGGAGCATGTGTGAGAGAAGGAAGACTCTGATTAATTTCTCCAATCTCAGTGTCAGGTGAGGAACGAACTCGAGGTGGCTCAGGGAAATAAGTAGGTGGAGCAGTGTCAGATGAATGTTGAATATGTATATCTTCCGTAGGAGATGACTGAATTTGTTGAATAACGTGAGGCAAAGATGGGAGAGTTGGTGGAACATTTCTGATGAAAATAATTCCTGAACTTTCCGGCGAGGGTTGTGTTGAAGGTGGAATAAAAGTACCGGAATCTCGGTGAGGTGGAGGCATGGTAAGTTCACTTGGAGGAATAATGTCGGATGCTACAGAAGGAGGAACTCTGAAAAGAGGAGGGACAAATAGAGGAGGAGCTTGATAATGACGGCGAGGATCATCCGGAAGAATCATCATAGTTGATTGTTGGAGAATCGAATTCGAAGACTGTTCCCCTTCTTCTTCCGAAGATTCTTCGTTGTCTGCATCCTCCATGTTGACATTTTCTTCCATATTGGCAAAATTAACAACAAAATCCATATCAACATCGGTGTCTTCCTCTAATTCATCCATAATTGCCAGATTAGCAACCATGTTATTTCCACGGCCACGGCCACGACCTCGGTAATTTCCACGAGATTTTCCTCGAAAGTTTCCTCTAGCGCGCCAATTTCCTCGGAAATTTCCAGTATTCTGATTAGAATTGGAAGAAGAAGCGGCAGAAGTAGGTGAAGTATTTTTGTTATGATTGGAATTTCCAGAAGGGGCTGGAGCGGAATTAGAACGTTTAGCTCCTCGACGAGTGTTTTTAGCTCTCTGGGAGCTAAAACTTTGAGTGGTGCCACCAGTCTGGATTCCAGAAAATCGGGCGACATTTGCGTAAGTATTGTTGTGAGAAGCACGAGAGAGACGACTATTGTATTCTTCAGAGAGAAGATTGCGAATGTGATCAAGAGTCCAGTGTTCATCTACACCCGTAGTTTTGTCAGGTGTGTACTCGTTGGTCATAATGTTAGAGATAAAATTATCCCAACCTCGACCAAGTTTGTGCATAAGCAAGGTACAAAGGACAAATTCTGGAATCGCAATCTTGTCATTGAGAGATGTAATCTCAATATATTTATTCTGGAAGGAATCAATGGTGACAGCCGGGTTTTGTCCGGGTTTGAAACTCATACGGAACAAATCCAAGAGTTTGGTAACAAGAGCGGCAGTACCGACTTTTCCATATTGGGTTTTAAGAGTTTCCCAAAAAGACTTCGCAGTGTCTTTCTGAAGGTGGCTAAGGTTGGTCGGAATTTTCATTCCAATTATACCAATAGCTTTCTGATTCGCTTCTTCCCAATCCTTGAGTTTATCATCATAATCCTTCAATTGTTTATCAGTTGGTTGAAGGGTAGAACCAGGAGAAGTAGTGGTGCCGTCTGCAGCAAGAACTGGTGGTATGTTTGTAGGATGAGGACGTACAGCATATTCGGACTTTTCTTTTTCAATGGCAAACCAACAGTTTTGAATACGAAGGTAATTCTTCATATTGTTGGACCAAAGAGTCCAGTTGTTGGCGTTAAGGTTTTCGAAGTTGGCAAAGGAGTTTCCGTTGGAAGACATGTTTGCTAATGAATGTATAAGGAATTAGATCGGAGTAAACTCAACGATCAAGAGATTCGGAGTTCCGGATCATGAACCAGGAACAAGTCTTCCATAAGGAATTACAGCATGTGTATTATCATCAGGGTGTATTGATCGATTAAGTTGAGAAGTGCTAGTCAGGTCCGCAACCCCCCATGACCTAGCATATATAAATTACACTAGTTCGGAAATTAAGTATAGTAAAAGTTTAAAAGTTAAAATAAACACCATGTGAAAGCCTTCGATGCAGCTGCCATGTCAATTGGTATTCCAGATGCAACAGGAATGCTATTACAAGACATCCAAGCGTTATTTCAGTACCCCTTCTCAGGATAGTCCCGCAAAGCAGGAGTTCCTCCAGGGACCGCATCTTTGAACCAACGAAGCTCGCTACAACAAGATTTGGGCGTGTACTCTTAAGGTGTTTAAATGGCTATTCGAATATTACTTTTTCTATTTTTACTAAAGTGCCAGAGAGTGAAACCGCGGCTTGTTAAAATACCCAAGTCCTCATCCGAATGACTACGTGAGTTTTGGACTGGATAGGTAAGAACCCTGACGACCAGGAGTTCCCAAGCGTGCAAATAAGATTCATTAAAGAACCCTACTAGGTATTCACTGAATCACTCTCGACGTGTGAAAGGGTAAGTATGGACTGCGTATATTTTTGCGTTGGTGTCCCAAACAGTAGAGTAAAATGAAAATATACCTGACATCCAGCAAAACCTTCTCAACATCGATCAAAGGACCACATCGACCACTGGTACCTCATGCAAGATGAGTCCCGATGGCAAAGGGCTGATGAACCAACATGGGCTGTAACAGCTCATGGAGAGTTGTCCATAGTCGATGGCCTCGGGGCCCATAACCTGTTGAGCAGCAAACAGCGCGCAGGGTCAAGGCGTAAGGTCTTTACTTACATGAGTACAACGAGATAGAGGTAGAACTGGTTAGGTTCAAAGTACGATGCGAGTGCAGAGTTTAGATTGCTAGAATCTGAGGTACTTGACCTCTTTACAAGCAGTATTTATACTGTTTATGCTACCTAAAGTGGCCATAAACTAAACTACGAATGTAGCTACTAAGATAAGAGGTAAAAGTGCTACTGGATAGTTAAACTAAGATCATAACCTAGACTTTGTCTAGAAGTACGTTGAACTCATGTATGAGTCGTTATAAGTCGTATATGAACTTCTACAATACTAACTACTTATCTACCAGTCGGATAGATACCATGAAACATGTAAGTAGAATTATGTAGCTGTCGAGAGCGGTTCTCTCAACACTTGGCCCCAGGCCCTGGACCTGGAGGACAAGGGCCAACAGGGCCAGACCTGGACCTTTGAAAAAATAAAATAAAATGCAAACTATTTTTTTCTTGTTGCAGACAACAAAAACAATCAATTTTCCTCATATTTCATAGGTTCAATACATTAGGGTTTCATTCTGCCACTGTTTTGCATGATAGTTATCTTTCTTGAAGTGTCAGAACACTGTATTGCTCAAGGTAACACATTGCTCAAACACTGCTACCCATCTAACATTGGTGCAAATTTTTCAACTTAGCTCAAATTAATAAGTTTAGTATTTTACATGTCTCCCAATTTATTCTTGAAGCAATATTTACCTCTCATTTACCACCTCTGAATATTCAAGGGCCAGACTGGGTCAGCCCTGGTCGGACCAGGTCCGCAAAAATTTCTCATTGGCTGACCCCAGACTTGGACCCATAGGTCCAGGTCCGGTCTTACACAGCCACTGGCCCCGGACCTCAGGGCAGGTCCAGGGTAGGTCCGGGGTCAAAAAAGTCCTGGCCCGGACCGCGGCAACACTGGTCGGGTCAAGAAATTTTAAAATATTAGACTGCATTCGCAATTGCAAAGAGAAATTTGGCCATTTTTTAAGCTTTACTGAATGGGTTTTGTTGGAGCTTTCAGAATTCTCTGTGTGAATGTGGTCTATTACAGCTGAGACTTTTTTTATTTTATTTTTTTATAAAGCCCTAAAAGTAGCCATATAACTTGAAGGGAAGTCAGGACACATTGTGATTAGTAGTGTGCATTTTATTGACCCTGACTTGCCCGGCTTTTACCAGCTTTTACTGGCTTTTTTTTGGCTTGAAAAAGTTTAATAGCTTTTTTCAAGCTGAAACAAGGTGGGAAAAGCCAGTAAAAGCCACTAAAAGCCAGGCAAGTCAGGGTCAATCAAATGCACACTAATCCTGATGCATAGCACTGGCATGTGTAAAAAGGACCAAGATGTTTTGTTTACTTTTTTTTGATTTTATTTTTGTTATAAAAACCCAACTTAGTAAGCAGCCATATATAAAGAGGACCAAGAAGTTTTGTTTACTTTTTTTACTACATGTGAGCGGATCTCACTGTGCTCCCTCGGTGATGATGTCCATCCCGGTTCGGACGGATGAATGACCTCTGAGGCCCATTTTAGGATATATGATATCCTCTCCCAAATCCGAAGTACCGCCAGATGCGGGGGACCATAAAGGTTCAGTCGAAGAAATTAACGTGGCCTAATGGTCTAGTCGTATGATTCTCGCTTTGGGTTTGATTGCGAGAGGTCCTGGGTTCAATTCCCAGTTAGGCCCACAGAAGTATTTTCTATTTTTGTTCGAATAACTTTGGATTTATTTGTCCAGCACCGCATCGAAAGAGTCATAACAGTACGGTCAACCAAAGACGAGTCTTGTATCATTACTTTCATCATGGAGTCCTTCGACAATTTTCAGTACGACTCTGCCTCTTCCTATGGTGGAATGGGTATCGTCGATGACACCTCCTCTGTCTACACTGCAAACACCCAGGACGGGTCTTCCTCCGTCGATCTCACCAGTCTCTCTATTTCCGACTCGCCCAGTTATCCGTCCTCGGGAAATGGCCACGCCGCAAGTAGAACCGGCGTGATCGAAGACGAATTTGATTCAGTTTTGGAAGATTTCAAGGACGACGGCGCTGTAGATCTACCTCCTCATGCCTGCAGGTGTGGTCACATTCCGAAATTAGAACAAGCATTTTTTCTCACAAAATTCTAATCCAGCTATTGCGGCATCCATTCTCCTGCATCTGTTGTTAAATGTCTTATTTGCTCCAAATGGTTCTGCAATTCGAGGGGAAATACTTCTGCCTCTCACATCGTTAATCACCTGGTGCGCGCTAAACACAAGGAAGTCATTCTCCACGCGGAGAGTCCACTCGGGGAAACCACCCCAGAGTGCTACAACTGTGGAAGCAAGAACGTGTTTATGCTGGGTTTCATCCCAGCTAAAAGTGATACTGTCGTCGTCTTACTCTGTCGGTATGTACCCAGTACTGTCTGGGGTTTCTCGGATTACTCATCCTTGACTCATCGTTTTACCCTCTGAAATCACTTAGTCAACCCTGCGCGGCCATCTCCAAAGAAATCGCCTGGAACACCGCTCTCTGGGCTCCTCTCATCGACGACCGTTCCTTCCTATCCTGGCTCGTCAAACCTCCGAGCGAAACTGAACAACTGCGATCCCGTCAAATCTCCTTCCAACAAATCAATCGCCTGGAAGATCTCTGGCGTGAAAATGCCAACGCTACCCTCCAGGACCTCGAGAAACCCGGTGTAGATGATGACCCTCTTCCTATTATCCTTCGATACGAAGATGCATATCAATATCAGAATATTTTTGGTCCATTGGTGAAGATCGAAGCGGATTATGATAAGAAGTTGAAGGAGAGTCAGACGCAGACGGACATCACGGTCAGGTGGGATTTGGGTTTGAATCAGAAGAGGGTTGCATGGTTTTGTTTGCCAAAGTTGGAGAGTGGAGAGGTGAGGCTGGCGGTTGGTGATGAGTTGAGGTTGAGGTATACGGGAGAGTTGCACAAGAATTGGGAGGGAGTTGGGCATGTTATTAAGATACCTAACAGTAAGTCCCAGAAGAGTCGCTGCTTTTCTTGCTTTTTTGTGTACTGACATTTGTTGATTCTTTTCTAGACGTCTCTGACGAAGTTGGCCTCGAGTTGCGCAGGAGTGAAGGTGTTCCTGCAGACTGCACTCACAACTTTGCCGCCGATTTTGTATGGAAGTCGACTAGTTTTGATAGGATGCAACTTGCCATGAAGACTTTTGCTGTCGATGAAAAGTCTGTCAGCGGGTATATCGTAAGTTTTCCCTTTCCTCACTATATATTACTTATCTTACCTTTTCTTCCCTGATTTAGTACCACAAGCTCCTTGGACACGAACTTGAACCCATAGTCCTCCGCACCCAAATGCCCAAACGTTTCTCTGCCCCTGGTCTCCCTGAACTCAATCACTCCCAGATGTTCGCTGTGAAGAGCGTTCTCCAAAAGCCGCTCAGTCTCATTCAAGGTCCACCCGGTACGGGTAAGACCGTCACTTCCGCCTCGATAGTCTACCACCTAGCGAAAATGAACCCAGACCAAGTCCTCGTCTGTGCCCCCTCCAACGTCGCCGTCGACCAACTGACAGAAAAGATTCATAACACGGGCCTCAAAGTTGTCCGACTGACCGCCAAATCCCGTGAAGCGCTCGACTCGAGCGTGGCGTTTTTGTCATTGCATCAACAGGTGGCGAACAGCACGACCCATGTCGAGTTGCAGAAGCTGATCCAGTTGAAGAACGAGCAGGGAGAGTTGAGTAGTAACGATGAGAGAAAGTACAAGACCTTGATTAGACAGTGTGAGAAGGAGATTCTGAGTGCAGCGGACGTGATATGCTGCACTTGTGTTGGGGCGGGGGATCCGAGGTTGAGTAAGCTAAAATTTAGGACGGTGTTGATTGACGAGGCTACACAGGCTGCTGAGCCGGGTACGTTATTTCTTGTTTGTTTTGTTCAGTTTTCTGACTGAAACTTTTCGTTTTTTTGGCTTGATAGAATGTATGATCCCTCTCGTTCTCGGATGCAAACAAGTCGTTCTCGTCGGCGACCACCAACAGCTCGGCCCCGTCATTATGAACAAAAAAGCTGCTCGTGCCGGTCTCACTCAGTCCTTGTTTGAGCGACTCGTCGTACTAGGGAACAAACCTATCCGACTTCAAGTCCAATATCGGATGCATCCTTGTCTGTCGGAGTTCCCGTCGAACATGTTTTACGAAGGGACGTTACAGAACGGAGTAACAGCTCCAGAAAGGCTGAGGAAGAACGTGGATTTCCCTTGGCCGGCACCGGACACGCCAATGTTTTTCTATCAAAATCTTGGCCAAGAGGAGATTTCGAGCTCGGGGACTAGTTTCTTGAATAGGTAATTTTTTTGCGTAGTTTCTATTTCTTTCATTCCTTCTTTCTGACATTCGTATGTTTCCCAGAACCGAAGCCTCAAACGTCGAAAAAATTGTCACTAAATTCTTCAAATCCGGAGTTGTCCCTGGCCAAATTGGAGTCGTAACGCCCTACGAGGGTCAACGGTCCTACATCGTCAATTACATGCAGTTCAACGGGTCGTTGAAAAAGGATCTCTATAAAGAGATCGAAGTGGCTTCAGTGGATGCTTTCCAAGGAAGAGAAAAGGATTACATCATATTGAGTTGCGTGAGGAGCAACGAGCATCAGGGGATTGGGTTTTTGAACGATCCAAGAAGGCTGAATGTTGCATTGACAAGAGCGAAGTATGGGGTCGTGATTTTGGGGAATCCCAAGGTGCTTTCGAAGGTAAGTGCTGAGTTCTTTCACAAGATGCTTACTAATCAGTCTCGTATCTTTGTATGTTTCCAGCACCCCCTCTGGCATTACCTTCTCACGCACTATAAAGAAAATAGTACGCTCGTCGAAGGTCCGTTGAACAACCTCCAACCCAGTATGATCCAATTCAGCAAACCCCGTCGATCGCTTGCGAAATCAATGGATCAATTCCGTCGACACGAGACGAATGCTCGAGAGTATCTAGGTGGACCCGCTGCCGGCTTGTCTGGAGGAGCCGGAATGGCAGTAGGAATGGGCGGGGCAGGACGTTCAGGTACACCAAGTCGATTCGACGCGTCGTTCTATCGTACGCATGACGCGTTGGGGTATATCCCTTCGGACGCACAGTCATTGAGATCGCAGGCGACTTACTCTTCTGGACTGCCAATGTTCACGGCTTCTGGACCGTTTAGCGGGAGAGGGGCGGGAGGGGCCACCGGTGTTACAGGAGGTGCAGCAGGAGCGGGAGGAGTAGGAAAGAGGAGTGTGTACGGGTCCTATGCCTCGTCGATTATATCACAGGATAATGGGGGTGGGATGGATACTGGCTCGGTTGTTGGCGCAAGTGGTGGAGGCGGAGGAGCATCCTCTATTGCTGGCTCTTCGGTTGCTGGAGGTTCATCTGCCGAAGGAGGTTCCGGGGGAGCAGTAGGAGCGGACATATCTTCCAATGTGAACCTGGCCTTCTCCCAAAGCGACCGATTGAGAAGAGGTAGAAGAGGCTCGTTTGGCAACTCAAGTGTGACGGGAACGAGTGATTTGGGAAGCGTGGTCTCTGGGATGAGCAGTTATGATTATAAGAGCCAAGATGATAACGGCGATTTAGATGACATGAAGAGTCAGTATACGGGAACTTCTCAGAGTGGGGTCACGGTTTATTGAGAGCAGATTAATCCACCCTACTACTCCCAAAAGAGCTGGCCGACTGACCGACCCAAAAGCTGATGATTTTTTGTCGGTTTTCGTCGGACGTGCCGATCATTCACATTAGTAGGATCTCTCATCTGAACTAGAGGCACTGTGCTACCCCTTGACTGCCTGTCAGTTCCAGTTGTAGGCAATGTCTCTAGGCAGTTTACCTGAAGCTTGCCATCGGACTCCTATTCTCCCCTCTCCTTTCGAGGTAACTTGGTCTCTCGGATCTTTCTTGGTTCAAAATATGCAGGCTTTTCCAAAACACATCTGGAAACCGGAAACGAATCTTCGGTCTTACATAGTACTGGAACCTCTCAACGTCGCCAAGCATCGTCATTCATCGTCATCGCCGTACTCAATCCCCACCCATTCCCAACATACACACATTGATATACATATACTCTATGTATTATCCAGGTTCACTTTCCATGCCCGTGGTGCAATTTATGGGCATATCAGAAGGACAGGAAAAGTCGAGTAGTCCGTTTGAGAAGTATGTTTGAGAAGTATGTTTGAGAAGTATGTGTATACATTTCCCTTCTTTCGAAGAAAGAATTCTTGAAGGAGCCAAATCGAGTTGTTCGCGGATGACACCCGTGTACTGTAGTTTTTCTAGAGTGGAATGGAGACCATGTACAGTAAATAAATGGATAGATGCAAAATAGAGGTGTTCCTTGATGAGACAGAGGCTGCTGTAGGTGCTGTTGGGCGGCATGACCCGAAGAGGGTGGGACATCTCCAGATGCCGCCTCTGTACATACCATGACCGTGCAGTGATATATACCATGAATGACCGTGCACATAGTATACCACAAATCTTCCTAGAACTTTCAGATTTCCAGAGACGTATAGATGAATATCCAGCTAATTATAATACAACGCTAAGAAATACATATGTCTGGTTTGTACGCAAATGCGACAGTAGTCAAGAAACTTATTTAAGCTAGTCTGGCAGTGTAACAGACTAAGAATATATACTTAACCTTCGTGTGTATGTATATA